GGTACAGAAGAACTAAGATGTGTGTCTGTATGTTTCCAGGCTGGTTGGTCTTTCCCTCCCTCTCTCCTTCCTGTTTGTTTTTCTCTTTTTTCTCCTTTCCCTCCTTCCTTCCTTTCTCCCACACCCTCACTTCTTTCCCCTCCCACTGTGTTTCTTTTTTAAAAGCCAAACTGTAGAACAAGCTCTGTGAAAAACCAGTGATCCAATAACATCTATGAATCTTTGTTCATCCCACTAGACAATTACAGAAGTAGCTATAATATACAAGAAAGCCATCAAAATCAATTTACTGTTGTTAATAGCAGAACACAGGGCTACGTTCTTGCTTTATTACTATGTACTATTTACTTTCTAGTAATGGACTCATTGTTTTTAAAGACTAAGTACAGGTCAGACCATACTCTGTGAGATCCAAAAAGCAAAGTAGTGGTGATGTTTGAGATTTTCTATGTGCAGACAATTGCATGCTCCTAATAAAAATCATGTACAAACTTTTTTGTCACCATACAAATACTGTTTCATTTTGCTCTGTGTCAACTGCCAGTATGACAAAGAACCTGCTATCATGAATGCTTATAGCTTAATTCACATAGACACTAGCTGTCAGTCACCTAAATGGATTGTTTTGCATTCCTTTTGTTCATTTCTTACCATACAACCCAGTGTCTACTCTGCAAAAGAACTAATAGGCATGAGTGAGTGCTCACTGATGGCTGAAAGAGTGCTTCCCTCAAGGTAAGCAATAGTCTAAAGACATCCAAACTGATTTTAATGTAACTATCACGTTATCTGAGTGAAGAGACATATAATAACATGGCAAACCAACAGCATTGTACAGAAATGTAGTGAAGAAATTCATCATGATGTTCTGAGTGAGTAGTGGTCAGTTTTTTCAAATAGGTGACACTGGAATATTTAGTTGGAATATCACAGAGAGCTGGGGGCTCTAGGCATATGACTGAAAGATACACCTGACCTCTGTTAAAAAAATTGGAGCTTTCTCAAAAAAAAAACCAAACTGAAATAGAGTTACCATTGGATCCAGCTATATCACTCTTTGGTATATTCCTGAAAAAATGAAAGTCAGTATATTACAGAGATATCTGCATACATATGTTTATTGCAGCCCAAATTGGTGAACTAAGCTGTAGAAACAGGCTAGGTGCCCATTAAGAGAAAACCATATTTGTATAAATGCAGTAGACACACAATGGAGTATTTTTCGGTCACACAGAAAAATAAATGATGTCATTTTCAGGAAAATGGATGGAACTGGACAGCATCATCTTAAATGAAATAAACCAAACTCAGGATGCTAAGTATTTCATGTTTTCTTTCATTTGTGTGATATGGGAGGAGGAAAGATGAAAGGAAACTGAAAAAGGAAAAGAGAAAGAAGGGGAAGAGGAAAAGGGTAGAAATAAGGGATACAATGATTAAAATATGTTACAAATACACCAAAATGAAGCCTTTTATTCTGTGTAACTAACATATACCAATTTTAAAAAAAGAAACAAGCAAAAACAAGAGCTGGTAGTAAATATATGATTTAACGAGGGCATGACATCACAAAATGATTTGGCTATTTGATTTTGTAAAGAAAGCAAAAGTAACTACAAGACAGCAAAGCAAAAGGTGGTTTTGGTTGCAGCATATGAGATTGAAATTTGTCGATGTCCCACAGCTCTAAGTTCTGTGAAGTCATTTATGAGATGTGTGTTGTGCAGGTGAGTGTGTGTGTGTATATGTATGAAGGCCGCTATGTATGTAGTATCTAAGAACTGAGTATTTAAACCACACCGTCTGAGCCACATCACATTTTAAAAACAAAACTGCACCTCTTTCTTCCCTCTTCTTCACCTCATTCTCTCTTCCAGCCGAGGAAGTTAGTGCTCCTACCCTATAAGTTACCTCCTACTTCACAGACAGGAAATTCAGTTTTTTACATATTTCATTACCTGAAGAAGTTAGAGGTACAAACTGTATCGTGGCGATGCTCTCAAACAGAAAAACCCACAAGCCAGGTGGATTCACATTCACCACAGTAATATTAACTTGAACATCATGTGCTTGGTAAACCTAAGGTGGTGAGTCTAGGTCGGGATACATCACAGTTATTAAATGCAAATATCTGCCTTCCCATTACCTTCAAAGTGGGGGGGCCGAGTTCCTCCTGGACAGTCAATTTTTATCACTGATTCTGCCAAATGATATCCCTAGTATAAAATTATCAGTTTCAGGGTTTCTTTCTTTTTAAAGGATCTGCTGTTCTTGAACACCAATAAAATTATACACTGTGAGAAATTTTAATGTAAGAAGCAAAGAACTTGTTTAAATTCTTTGAATGTATAAAATATATTTCAAAAGCTGTGAAATTTGTCCTCGATAGCATCTTTACATAATAAAAGAAGCTATCTTAAAAGTGAAGAGAAAAGGAGGTAACTTGGTATTTAGATAATCAGAGGCAGGAATGACAATAGTAACCTGATAATCATACCAGTAAGTGGAGTCGTCATCTAAAATTAGGTTTTTAAGTTTATAAGAAAGCTAAATAGGAGCTATCTAAAATTTTATTTCTTAAAAAACACTTTCCAAATCGGGTGTTGTGGCATATGCCTGTAATCCCAGCACTCTGGAGCCTGAGGCAGGAGGATTGGGCAAGTTGGAGACCAGCCTGAAATACAAAGTGAGTTCAAGGCCGGCTTGCACTGCATAGCGAAACAAAGCAGACAAAAACCAAACCAAACCAAAAAACTATTATTTTCCAATAATAGTAGTAATAACTAATATTTATTAGAAAATCTTTTTAGCAACCATACAAGGCAAATGCTATTATTATTCTTGTTTATTAGAGGATGCTGAGATCCAAGACTAATTTAAGCTTTGTCACAACTGGTCAATCAAAACAAGGAGCAGGTTTTCTCTGGTACACACCACCTCCACCCTCTGCAGTGCTTGAGGGGGAAAGTGGAAAAAAAGAGAAAAGTAGGAAGGAAACCAGGCAGGAAAAACAGGAAGGGAAAAACTAGGAAGGAAGGATTGAGGTAAAGGGAAGGGGAGGCTAGCTAGACCTGAGATAGTGTGGTCAGGAATCCTGCTAGGTCCAGTGAGTCCTCTGTCCCATTACCAACCAGTGCCCATTGCTCTACTCTCCTGGGCCCAAGTTCCCAGTGCAGTGTTTGACCTATACCCACAGCATATCACTAAAATATATGACTGCCTCATATTAGAATTTTTTTAAGAACATGATTTTTTAAAATATAATTTAATCTACAAAAGCAATCAGAGCTGTCTCTCAGGTCACTCTGCTGCTTTTTAAAGTTCACGAACAGAAACAGATCAGTACTGAGGGCTAATTTATTGTACGGGAGCTATGTAAGCTGTCTGCAGGGGATTTTAGATCAGCACAGGAGCATTTTTCAAAAATGGTCTAAGGCATTTTAGGGTTCATGCTTCAAAGACAGAGCATGAGCAAACCTAAGGCCTTTTCCTTTAAGTATTATTTCCAATCTTTCCAATCTATTTACACTTTAAATTCCTGCAAAGTGTTCTTCCTTTAGTGTTCTTTGCCTCTTCTATATTTTCTTGAGGTTAAAATATTCTTATTTTACAGGTAAAGAAAGCAGTTCAGTCATTAAAAGGCTAACATTAGTAGGTATGCATCAAGACTTGAATCCAGATGTTGTGTCTACAAATATCATCCCTTGCTTATTATTTCTGAAAGCCTAAAAGCCAGTCATTTTAAGATTAAAACCAGGTTTTTGCTGTTACAAACATAAAGCTGACAGAAATTTAGTGTGGAATAATCTTTACAATGGAGTAGTGGTGATAAATTTATTCACCATAAATAAAAAACTAGCAACAAATCTAGAAAAATTACTTTTAAAACCTGTAAATAAAATCCTTTATCAACTTCTTCCAGCTTAGCTGACAAACATCAAAGGCAGTGAAATCTGTCTGTAGTACACAGAAGCCACACCAGGAGAGTTAAATATCTATCTATAGATCAGTAACAATGACAGTGTCAAGAGGTTAGAGGACTAATATATTTTGATAACAGCAAAAATTATTTCAGAACATTCTATAGTATCCCCTTTATTTCAGTCTTCTACCTACCTGAAGTGTATCTGAAATGCAGAAATTTCATTACAAAAACTGATTTAGAAATTCTTCCCATTATATGTCTTTGGGCTTGCATAGGATGTTTTGACTTAGGTTACAGTAGCCTGATAAGACTTAAAACACAGCTCAGGCCTAGAGGATAGTGCACTTCATTATTTTCCAAGATTTACTTGTTCACTACTTGTCCTTGCCAAGCATTCAGGTAAACCCTTTATTTGTTAGAATTCTGGGGCTGGTGAATGGAGAGGACCGTACCACAGATGCATAACCACACCGGACTGCTTGCATCCCATCCTGATCTGAAAAACCTTCCCAGACCAAAGCATCAGTGTCCTCCAGGAGCTTGTTAATCACATAAATGCTTCCACCCTAGACCTACTGAATCAGAAACAGTGATCTGCACTTTCTCCAGGTCTCCATGGGATCTCACTATAAGCTGAAGTTTGAGCTTGTCTAAGAAATTCTGAATTGAACATAAGAGAGCACAACTTCATGTGAATGGTTACTGCTTGCTATAGAATGAATATCTGAGTCTCTCCCAAATTCAAACTGAAATCCTAACCCCTAGGAAGACGGTGTGAGGAGGTGGGGCCTTTGGTAGGGGGAAGGCCTGAGGAATGGGATTAGTGGGGGTCAGTGCCCTTCTGAGACAGATCAGTAGAGCTCCTTGGTCCCACCTCCAACATGTGAGGACAGAGGTATCCTTGAATAACAAGCAAGTAGGTCTTCTGCAGACACTGAAATCTGCTGCCCCTTCCCACCCTCTACAACTGTAAGAAACTATGTAGTCTCTGACAGTTGTGCAGCAGTTGGATTGCTATCCAACAGAAGAAAACACTGAAGTATTACAAAATTTGCTTAAAAATATGACTCCTTACCACATGCCCACATGTCAACAGGCTTTCCATAAGGATCTTTACGTAAAACTTCTGGAGAGAGATATCCAGGCGTGCCAGCGAAACCTTGGAAAAGCAGATATTCAGGAGTCAGAGATGACAAAATCAACATGAGGTAGGAAACCAAGAGAGAAAACTTTTCATAGGCTTCTTTATCTGACATATTCTTTTTGTTAAAATAAAGCAAAACTTTGCTAAATTAATGAAAAGTAGTAATAGCAATAGTAGTTTTTCCTGTTCCTCTAGCTTATTTGGAAAACCAAAAAACAAAACAAAACTGAATTGAACTGAACTAAACTAAACTCTTCTCCAGATGCCAAGGGCAATCTATTGTGCTGCATAGTCACCGTGTATATTTAAGGCCACTCTGGATTAGTAGTTCTTAGTGTTACTCATATGGAGTTAAAACTAAACCTGAAAAGAAGAGAAACGTGAAGAAAAAGATTAGAGTGTTACAGAAGGTGCCAGTTATCATGCTACCTAAATAACTACTGTTATGGTTACCTATTAAAACATGAGGCTACAAAAACAGATATTAAAGACAAATTCAAAGCAAATTTTCAGTAAGCCCTTTTGAAAGTGCACTGGGTATAGGGCAGTGAGGGTGGGGATAGGACAAAAAGTAACTTCATCAAGAGAAGAAACAAGCCTTCAATACATCAAGGAGATCAATGTGTGCTACTAAATAAGCAGAGTACACTCGTAACTGGCAATGGACGAGAAGACTAAGGAACTCCCAGGTGAATCACTACTGAACATGCGCCAACTAGATTTTCAACCTAAGAGGTTCTGTAGAGAAACTAGATGACTGAAGACAGTCTCCATTTACATAGCCAGTATAAATTTCGAAAAGTTACAATTAAGTAAAAGTCAGTCTACAGCTTGAATCCAGAGTAAAAAATTTCTTATTTTTGAAATACTAGTTTTTTAAATGAAAAAAATTATTCAAAAATAGCAAAGATAACCATTTTTGTATGGAAATTTTCTTTAAAAGCACAAATAAAAACTTGGCAAATCTCTTTAAAAGACAATATAGTCAGGAATTCCTCCAACCAAAAATCACTCATAAAGCACTTTGATACTTACTTTACATCCAAGAAATCAATTTTTTTCTCATTTCTGTGACAAATTTATTAATTACAAGCAATATGCAAGGACATATGAAACTATATATATATGGTAGTTACTTCTCTGAACAAAATTAGATTAGAAAGCAACACGAGGCTTAAAAAGATATTCGTGATATCTTTTTTTTGAGACACAATCTTGGCATGTGGTTCAGGCTAACCTTCAACTCGCTGTGTAGCACAAGGACTCAGACTCAGTGCTCGTCTTGCCTCAGTGCTGAGTGCTGAGACTAGACATATACCATCAAGCCTGGTTGGATTTTTATTTTTTTCATTTTCATTACATTTTTCTTCCTTTGTTTTGAGAAACATGATATAAAACGAGAAGGGACTCCAAAGTAAGACTTATATATTGCAATCTAAACTTTACATGGATTAATCACTAATGCACTGGAGATTCTACGCCTGGGGTTTATGGACCAACTGAAGATGTGATGTGTCACCCCTGCTCTATCACAAGGTCTACCCCTTCAACCCCTCGTGACATGAGATATGCAAGGAACCAGTGAAAAACTGATACCAAAATACAGCTAAATCCAGTGTTCAGAGGATAGCTTCCAGTGCCTTATCATCGGGATCCTACTGACCCAAAACGTGTGGTTCTCCATCTGAGCTCCTGTCTGATCGATCTTTCTGTGCTCTCTTGAAACTAAACTATTCAATCTCACTCTTGATGCTACTTTTTCTTTTATTTGAATTTCTGTTTTTTTCTCCAACAGAGGGTGGCCCTAAATTAGATTCATCTGCAAACTTTCCTTAGATGCCTACAGTTCTCGGTGATCCATTCTCATTCTGAATTCCAAACACTCTTTTCTATAAATTTGTGTTCTATCTAAAATTAATAAATTTCATGTCTTAAATAACTTAGAATGTTGGCCAATACTAGGAAATGTTAATGAGTCTCCCTAGTAAAGACAGGGAAATTAAGTCACTACATGTAAGAAACAAAACAATCAGTTAAAACACAAATGATAAGAAGCCACCTTGTAAGTCTAAAGTGCTAAGAGAATACTGCCGCGCTTGAAACGACCACCTGTGAGGGCACACACTGCATGTGTGAGTGCTGGGAAGCCAGTTGCTGTCCCACTTGACACATGAACGATGCTGCACACACTGGCAAGCCTTGTTTAGAGGGAGAGCAAATGCATAAGAATCTAGGAGTTATCATAGCTACCAAAGTAAGCAAGATTGTGAAGCAACACAGCAGTTCTTTCCCCCTCTTCCTCCCTTTCTTTCTTTGCCTCCATTTTTTTTTTTCTTTTAGAAACAGGGTCACAATATGCAGTTCAGGCTGGCCTTGAGTTCACTTTGTAGTACAGGCTGGTCTCAAAATTGCAATGATCTTCCTGCCTCAGACTCTCCAGTGCTAGGATTATAGGTGTGCACCACCGTCCCTGGCTACTTAGCCCTCCTTTTTTTCCAGAAGCAATAACAAGTTAGAAATATAGAAACATCCTGAAAATATTTCAGCTCTATAGGATAGCAGGTTATATTTGAATATTTCTCTTTTATGTTTTTAGCAATTTTATCAAATGTAGTGACAAAAGGTATCACCTCCAGCCTTCTTGGTGAGTGTTCAAATAGATAAAGGAAAAAATAATCACATCTTGGATTGAAAATTTAAATTTCAAAGAAAATACAATAAACAGCTTCTTTGTCTTGTACCATATATTTCTTTACATGTATTATGTACTTTTCTATTCCGTGATATGCCTTATGTTTTTAAATAAAATTACACAAGTGCCTAAAGCTCCAGAAATACATATCATGCAGAGTCCTGCTCTCTTCTAAAAATAAAAAGGCTTTTCCTCTTCTTTCAATATTCATCTTAAAGGATAAAATTAATTAAATGAATGAGACCATGATGACAATAATAATGAACAGATATCAAAACAAGTTATTCACATTAAAACATTAACCCTAATCCCTCAAATATGCCTGGAAATACATCCAAATGAAACTCAGTGCTCCATGTACTTCCTTTGCTTACTTGAATGGGAGGGAAGAAAGAGAGGGAAAGAAAGCCCAGAAACTGTATTTGTACATTTCAGAAATGTTAAATTTTCTAAGAATTTAAGCTGCATCTTTTTGGCTGCTTCACCTAGGGTCTACCTGTGGCTCCCTCCATAAGGATAAAGATATGGGGATGTTACTGCTGATCTACTGGTCTACTAGTGTCTTTGAGAAAAAAAAATATCACAATTTGAAAATCTGTTTGCTCTTTTGCATTCATTAACCTGATACTCAGGTCTCCTTGTACCAATTCACTATAAAGAACTTACTGAGTAGGTAAGAAACACTGACCTTGTGTTTCATATCAATATGGCTTTGAAACCTTTCTGAACATCATATATAGCCTAGTTATGACCCTCTGGACTACTTCACTAAGCACATTACAGTGCTGGGAAGGGGTGTTTATGATTGCCTTTAAGAAAGAGAACAGTGATTTACAGAATTAAAGACCGTGCAGTGTCATTCAGCTATTGAGAATCAGAGCCAGGACATAAGTTCAAGTATTTCTGATTCAAAAAGGACAATTTATTCAACCATATGCAGTCCTCTGAAATGATACGTGAGAAACACAGACTCAAAATAAGAGTGATTTAGGAGTGCAGTTTCAATGTACTTGTCAACAGCCAGCCAGTGTTGCTGGGGAAATCTGAGTACAGCTCTCATGATAAAGGCGTCTGTGTTATACCTTCTTCAATCATCATTACTTTGTACTGAGATCTGGGAATTCTATCCCTGGGCCTAAGTCCTCATTTCAGCATCCTGTCTCATGTGACAAGCCTCTGATGAAGTAGGGTCCTACTTTGCTCTAGGCAGGATTAGAACCTTTGGAGACTTTCCATAAGCTGATTCCTTCCTTTGGAAGGCCACAAATTTACAAACACGGATGGACACATTTCCACTCATCTCTTAGGCACTTATTTGTTCAGGGAAGAATTTCATCTTTCCTTTGTCTTCTAGAGTACCTCTTGGATATTTACTTGTATGTCTAGATATTCCCACCCTATGAAGTGAATAGTTAACCCCAGCTCTGAGAGTCAGGGCCTGCCATGTAATGTAGTACCTCCAGAAACTTGCTGTCCTATCTCTTCTGGTTGAACCCCTAATTCTTGTTCCTGTATATTCTTTATCTGTTTCAACATACCCTCATCCAGGATAAAGAGCTATATCTGAATCTCTCAATTTACAGAACTAAGTCTGAGTCTTACCATCTTTTAGTTTGCAGTTAACTAGAAGAAGCTTAACCCAGTGTAAAACTATGACAAAATAAATGACAATTCTGGACACAGTAAATTCATCAGTGGTGGTAAGGAGATACTTAATTAAAAGGTGGCATTAAACTTGGGAGAGATTGCCAATACTGTTAACTGTCAGGACTACTGACAAAGGACAGATAGCAGAAAACGAGGTCATGATTTAGGCTGCTGGCGAAGGAGAATGGGAGGCTGCCAGGCCATCTGCTCTCATTAACTAGCTGGGCAGGTTGGAAAGATATGGTGGTTCCTGGGAGCTCTGTGTACATCTTAGGAGATGCATACAGTAGGGATATAGAAAGCATTTGCACATAAAACAAAGAAGTAAGCACTTTTTATATTTGTTGCTGTTGTTTGAAGGAAAATAAATTAGAAATAAAGGATACTTTAAAAAATTATCTAATTACCTTGTTGAAAATCAAGAGAAAATTCAAAAAGAGCCACAGGAAAACATATTTTAGAACTCTACATGAAAAAATGGGTTAATACTGAGAAATGGCAGAGAGGGAAGCATAAAAAAATCAATTAGGAAAATAATCTTTTTTCAGGCTGAAGTTGAATAATCCAGTAGAATTCATTTTGGCTGAGATGAGTCACAGAAAATAGAAACCCTCTCCTTCAAAGCCAGTCATACAACCTAGAAATATTACTCCAACTTTCTCTCTTTCTAAGAGCTGGTGTAGAGGAATCCTGTGGACTACAGGGCCTGACAGTAGATCATGAGGTCTGTGTGTCAGAAAGGGCCCGGACCTACACCCAGCAGAGGGTCGGATGCTGCCAGCGAGGCAGAAAGCACGTGAAAAGACAGATCCTCCTGGGTTCTTCCCTCTTTCTGTTGCCACCAGGCCACACCTTTGTGCTTCACTTCTCTACACAGCTTACATTCTTCACTAAATGGAACCTAAATATAGTCAGTTTTCCCTGGGTCTCTGTTTCTTCATGTCATATAATATAAAACTTTGATTAATTAAATCTGTTGTGTTTTATTTTTTATCCTGTTTTTTGGTAGAGGAGTTTTGGCAGTAACTTATGATGGGGAGGAAAGGTATCATAAAGAAAAATGTTCTTCATAATTCCAAAATAATTACAATTTTAGTGAGAAAACTGGCACACATTGACAAGTAGAAGGTAATTAAGATATTTCTTATTATCTTCTGTTTACATAAGTAGTACTTAGCATCATGTGAAATTGTATGTGGACAATTAATTTCCTTACAAATAGAAAAGTATTCTTGGATTGTAATACTATTAATTTTTAGTACAATATCGATTTTCTCATCCATCTTTTATAGAAAAAATATTAATGTTCTATTCATGTTTTCTCTTAAATTATTTCTTAATTACATAGCAATTGAATGCTAGGTACAGTATCATGAAAGTCTGAAAGTTAAGTCAAGATGTGGCTGGGACAGAGCTGGAGGTGTAGCTCAGCGGTAGAGCACTTGCCTAGCAAGCATAAGGCCCTGGGTTCAAAACCCAGTACCATTCTCACTTCCCTGAAAAAAGATATTTCTGGGATGAATGTTTCCACTTGATTTTGGCTAGGAAATAGGATTACAAAGCACGAATTAGAAGCCAACAGATCCAAGCAACACAAAGGAAAGACAAGCTACTCACCAAACCATGCTTGTTGGTCGCCTTGAACTTCTATGGCCAAGCCAAAGTCTGCCAGTTTCACAGCTGCTCCCTTGGATTTGCTAGCTAAAAGCAAATTCTCAGGCTTTATTGAGAAAGAAATACAAAGAGATTCAAGTGAGAACCTATTTTAAGTGACTATTTAAAACTAATAGTTTTACAAAATTTGGGAGGGGGTGGGGAAACAAGTCATGCACTGTCGTCTCTCCCGGAGCCTGCCATTCCTAAATCCCAGGGAAAATATGGTTAGAAATGATTACCAATTTTCATGTGCACAGGCTACAGACAGATGCATAAGTGTGAGAAGAGGCAGTGGGCGAAGGGGGAGAGCAAAGGGAGGACAGCACCTGTCTGGCCGGCTCACATGCTTCCTGGGACCCCTCGCAGTGCAGCGCGGCCAGGGATACTGTCTTAGAAGCCTAACAGAGCACAGACATTGTCAGCAGAAGGCAGCTTGGCAAAAGGATAACAAGAGTTGGACCACTCTGCAGACATTTGGCAAATGGAACTGCACAAATTAAATCCTAGTTGACTTTAAGAGTCTGGGCCCAAATGGAGTGATTTGGATTCTTTAATGTTTTCAAACAATTTTAGTACCAATTTTAGAGACTTCCACTGAATTATGTATTAAAATTGCTCTCTTTAAGAATATGTTTATTCTTAAAGACAGAAAGAAGTAACCACTATTTGCCAAATGTTATAGTTAGCTTTTTTCTTTATAAGCCAGCTTTTGAAACATAATTTACATTTCTTCAAAGTGTGATTCAAAAAATTACTTATATATTTATTCTCTCATCTCAAAATACTATGAGAAAGATAAATTTTATTTTCTTGGATATTTATCATTACTCAGGGACTGATAACTCAGTTCTGGAATAAGGCTGTGTCTACACCATTGTTTCCCAACCAGTGCAGTGAGACACAGTGGTATTGTAAAAATAAGCACCAGGAAAAATTCTCCGCTTTCACTGGATGTCCTGTATTGTTTCCAAGAGATGAGGAGACAAAACAGCTAGGAAAATGAGGCTGGTTAAAACATACAGTTAACCTTACACAGCCCAGCTATCTGGATGGACACAGGGCTGGGCTGGTATATGGATGCGAGAGGGCCTCCAAGACTTACTGCTTCCTACCTCCTCTAAGAATCAGAGAATTTGGAATCTGGGCCTCAGACTGAAAAAAGTTGGGAAACAATGGATTGTGCAAAAACTATTATCGGAAACTTCAAAAATTCAGCCAGTCAAGTTTATTTTATGTTGTTAAGAAATTTTACATTCTTTTCACCCAATTGGCTATTTTCATCTCCTTTTTTATCAAATTGATCAATTCTGTTGGTTGCTTTGACCTTGTGTAAACACAGCCTAATTCATTATTTAATTCATTAATTAAGCCAGCCATGCAAAACAGCAAAAACCCCATAACCATAACTTGGAAGAAATTAGCTTAAATCTACAAGAAATTGGAGTGTGGGCAAGAATGTTTTAATCAAGTACCAGACTTCTTCAGGCCATTGCTGCTCACTGCCATCAGATTCATCACTATTGTGACAATTGTAGATGTGAGGAAACCTTTGAAAGTTTCTAGAGCTGACAGGGTTTTGAACTACATCCACACAAAATATATAATTTAATTTGGACTTGAGGATGAAGATGTCTCAGGAATATGAAAAATCTTCATTCATGCTGAAATAGCTTTCAGGAAAGCCTAATATTTGAAATGATTTGGAGCTCTGGATATTTGTCAGTATAATAAAGTATCTAATCATGTTAAATTATTCATGTTTGGCACTTTACTTTCACAACTGAAATTTAAAGCCTGCTATATTCATGCCTTTTCTAATTTAGTCAAGATAATTTACAGCTATTAATTTATGAAATACATAAACCAAATCACATCAAGTTATAAGCAACAATAGGTTCTATTTCTTGGTGACCTTCAGCTCAAATGCATGAAAGCATCAGAGATGTCTGCTAAATACACATATGACCTGATTTGTCAACCACAAACTCATTTCAGGAAAGAATTCCTTATCACTTAAAAATCAAAGCCGTTTACGACTTCTAAGTCAAATAGCCCTGAGCAAAAGCTATTCACATTAGAAAATAACCTTTTAAAGAATTTAATATGATTTTACTCATCAATCAATGGGAACACTTTTGGGGCAGCAGTTTGTACAACTTGCCCTTAGACACCATGTCTATCAATGCAGAAGAAATAGAAAGTTCTGGAGTTTTATTACACCTGGCCTCAGCATGATTGGGGCAAACATTCAGAACTAGAAGACACCTGAGGAGACCTCACTTGTGAGTCATCTAAGAAAAGAATAAATCCATCTGAATGAATGTTTCACCTTAGGCTCAAAAAAGACTGTTCAGCTGCAGTTATGGACAGGAAAAGATAGGGCTCTTGCAAGTGTATTGCATACATTTAAAAATGAATAGCATTGCAATGGTTTCACACTTATGTACTGCTTTTAGACAAGCCAACAATACAGAATGATGGAATGTAAGCAGAAAACCTGGACATTAGTAAAGGATTATTTGCTTCTTCATATTTCATCAGAGATTGCTTTAAGTGGCCAGACAAACATTAAAATACCCTGAAAATATGATTTCTAAACAGCTCTTTGGAATATATCAGTTTGAACAATCCTGTCCTCATGTTCGGTGGAAGGTGGGAGGTTTCATCACTAAGAATTTTATAAGAAACACCTTAACCAGGATAGGCAAATTTATTCCAATTTTTTTGAATCAATAACACCCAAAATAGCCTCCAACCTGAAAGTATGTTGCATGACAAAAGTTCATTGCCAGGTAATTGAGTTTGGATCCTAACTGCCTACAGAAAGGGAGATCATTTGTGGTAATACACCACCACAGTGGGAAAGAGTAGAAACTCTCATCTGGTCAGTGGCTGGCTCCTCAGGAAGGATCACCACTTGTTTATTTGCTATTATCCCACTAGTTTGATTTTCTTGCATGAATGAGAATGTAGGATTAAAAACTCAGTCTTAGTCTAATACAGCTACAGCTGACTATATGGGCTGGGGCAACACAGAGATAATTAGTTCTATCTCTCAAGTGAATTTAGAAGGCTACTTCACTCTGATAGCCCAGAGCCCATAGCTATTTCAATATGTAGAACATTTAATATTTGGAACAAATTATCAAAATCTGCTAAGAGTCATTATTATTGAAGCTAACTTCAATGTTAATCTATTCTGTTAGTCTTTATCTATTGAGATTATCTCTAAATTCCTACAATGCGATTACTAAGTTGATTCTTAAATAGATTCTACTGACATTCTCTCACATAGGTTCTCTCCCACCCCATTGCTTCCTAATGATGCACGGTTTTCCATGACATCTGGTCTCAGTGCCAACAACCATTTATAGCATATCAGCTGTAAAGAGCAGCAACTGTTTGCAAGTTGTGTTCTCTACTTCCGTATGCACACAACGTCAACTTCTTTCATTAGGATGCCAGATTTTCTTGAAACTGTTCAAATATTTCAAAGTACCTAATGAAAGTTACAGAATCACTCTCTGCAACTTAGGATATAAGGAGATTTAGGAAAGAGACTTAGGATATAAAATAATTCAGTCCTCTCAGTTTTTAAAGGTAGGGAAGTGGAAAAGTCCCCAAAATTGAAATCAGGACATAAAGCTAGATTCTCCAATTCCTTACTTTTAAAGATGTGATACTGAGAAAGCCTTTTTGATGGTATGAGAAAGCTAATTTTCAGAAGGTAATCCATTCAGTTGATATTTCAGGAAGAATCTGAAACATTCAAAAATATTTACTATGCATATTCAAATGCAATAAGCAGAAAATTTATAAAAAGATGTTTTTAAATCTATTTCTCCAACTATCATCATCTTTATTAAGGAACTGATTTGGAAAAAGCTGTAACTAGCATTAGTAAAATGGACTTTTCTGGACACATATGTGACAACAAGCTATCACAAGGAATACATATGTGACATCATCTATTTTTAGTTAGTTCTGTGCTGTTTTCTTTTTGAAAACATGCTGTTCTATTATTACGTATTATTTGATTTTTATTTTCTCTTATTGTTTTTAAAGTGTGAAAACTGTCCTTTAAAATTTCTTTACATTATTGGAAAATATTGGAAAGTATTTCAACAGGAAGTTAACCATATGCTGCTTTCGTGTTTTTTCATTCACTTTTTCCTTGCCAAAGAAGGTGTGAACAAGTTCCCTAAATAAACTAAATGAAATTTTGCAGGTCTTAAAAAGCTTGGGTGTCATGATCACTTTTTCTTTTGTGCACATGGTACAAGTGAGTGTAGCTTCTGTTTTTTTTACATGAAACAAATGCCTGAATTCATGTCCTTGGCACAAGGAGTCCTTAGCTGATGTGTGTGTTTCAGTTAGGTAGTACTACTTCTGTTATCATGCATTCATGAGCAGGTTTATAAGATTCATACTATACACCTTTCCTGTTTCTTGATTTGCTCTTGTAGTATCGGCAAACACTGTCAGTTGGATTGAAGGAAACTGATGTTCTCCACTTCTTCATGTAGACAAGGCACCCTCGGTAAACACCAGAATTACATAATTTTTCACATATAGTTTGTTTCTAAAATATCTAAATATACATCATAAATAAAGAATAGGTCTTTAAAGATCTTATTTAAAGATAAAAGTCTAAACTTTTATCTAAATATAGTTCTGAGGAAAGCAGAATATTTGTGATATTATAATTATTCTGGATATAGAATTCAAAACTTGGCTTATATCCTACCCATAGTTAACAAAGATTTACCCTCAGCACAGACATCCCTGACAACGATTTTCTATTCTGCTCATTAGTTTTATTCCTATGAAGTATTCTTTAAAAAGTACATATTACTCGATTCTTATATTCCCTTAGATATTATTCTTAAACAGTTCAAATTGTGTTTTAAAATTTCTTTCCACTATTGAAAAGGAGCATTTTCTAGCAAGGTAATCCATAGGGTGACTCGTTGCTAAAGGATTCAGTGGTGTGCATGAAGCCTCCTGTCCAAATTATTGCTCGTGACATGGCTTAGTAACCATTTATGCTATATTTGAACTAAAAAAGATCTTATTATTTTGTGTGAAATATAGTTTAATGAAAAAGTAGAGGTATATAACTGTCTTTTTCTTCTGTCAACTGATTCACAGACACTTCACTCTCCAGATTATTGTGAGAGTATACACCAGATCTGATGTCCCTCTATTTCTCATGACATCAAGAACTGTCACTTATTACTGCAGCTTCTCTCAGATCTAACAGCTTTCTGGATGCAGTTCTTGTCTGACACATTTTCTCTTTTCTGTGACAAATGTCACCAGTGCATTTTCGACACACTTTAACTCCATTGCCCCAGGAGTTCCATGCATGTGCATTTAAGACAGCACCTTAGCTGCTACTACTGAAATGTCTGATGGATGTGCGTTCCTCTGCTTATACCTGAATTTGAAACCAGTAGTTCATCATTTAACACTTAAGTCAATTTTTTCTTTATAAATAATGTAGTTTTAAGATTCTCAAATGGATTGTCTTTCTCCCCCCCCCCTTTTTTTTTTGTCTTTTTCATTTTTATCGGTACCAGGGGATCAAACTTGCGAAGGCAGGTGCTTATGCCGCTGAGCTAAATCCCCAGCCCCACCTCCCTTTGTTTTTGAGACAAAGTCTTTCTAAATCTCTGTGCTGGAATTTGCAATCTTCCTCTCTCTGCCTCTAGAGTGCTGGGATTACAGGAGTGCATCCCCACATTTGTCATGTTTATTTTGATTCATTATTTGCTTTTTGCATAAGTTTTTAATTCATACAATTAACTGAATTGAGAAATGGTTTCTTGATTTACTTTTGTATGATTAAGCATGCAGACTTAGAATCAAATGGCCTGGGCACAAATCATATTTTAAACTGAGTGACCTTGAATAAATTCTTCCACTTGTGATTGCCAAATTTTCCTTACATGATATAAGGATGATGTTAGTATCTGCCTCATAAAGTTGTGAAGATTCACAAAACACAGCATTGGGATATGGTAAGTATTATAGGAACCACAGCCATTACTATTTTTTATTATTAAGGTCCTGCCTTGATCTAGATCCTCCCTAGAATTAGTCCTATCCCTCATATTCTATCTATAATTTTATCATCACTGCCAGATCCCTCCAGTACTACCTGGATGTATATTGACTGGCTTCAGGTATCCAAGACAAGACTGTGGTCCATTATCAATAATACAGCTGTTGGTAATGATGATACCCTTCCACCTTGCACCATCTCATATTGCTTATTTCTGGGACATCGCCAAGTTGTCTGTTGTGTTACAGATTCTGAAGATTTTTCTCTCTGGTGGATTTCCAAGAGAGAGAGTTAATCAAATATTCAAATTGTGATCTTCATTCTGAAGATGTACTTATCTTCTTTATGTTATCCAAATGTTAATTAACATACTTAGCTATCTATTAAGATTGTCATTCATATTACGAATGTATAATTTACATACATTTTGAACGCCACTGATTTCTAAACTGAAGGACTATGTTGAAAGCATTTACTAGGTTAAAGCTCTATGTTAGGTATTATGAGTTAATACACTATGTTAAACAGCTACTCTTTTGGGAAAGGTTTACAAACTGTGTAGTAACTATATATTCATAGGTGCCTTTGATACTGACAGTAAACATAATATTTTCAGTGTTTTTCTTTCCCTTTTATGAAACAGTTAAACTTTATGTATTAAATATCTGAAGTGAAGGTTAATTATTGTCTGAACTGGGATAAGGAAACCAAAATCTATGGATAGAAATAGTAAAGGTACATTTATTGGCTAATACAATTCACCATTTGATTTCTTCTTGTGTTTTACTCTATTGGTAAATATGCTATTACAAGCATATAATTATTTTATTTCTCTTTGGTAAAAAAAGGCATGGAACAGAAGCAGGAATAAAGCACATTAAGATGTGCATCCATTACCTTCAGTGTACAAGTTCTGAACTCTTAGTGTGTTTATGAAATGGTGCACTGAAAACTAGACTCAGTGGCATGAAATCTTTCCAGATCATCAATTTTCTGGAAACTAACACAATAAATTATGCCAAGTTCTTGAAAAAGATCATGTCTGTCTTTTCTTAAGGCCAGAATAAGAATGGAGGGTAAAAATTCTTTTCTACATTGAAAAAAAAAAAAACAAAAAAAAACCCAAAACTTGGTGGTGGGGAGTGTATCCAGGCTACTTGTTTCTATAGTAAGCCTGTCTATAAGTCACTTGCCTGGGTTTTTATTAGCTACTTTATGTTTAAAAAATGTATTTTTCTTCACAGCCTATGTTCTAGGCCACTGTCTTCTCTGATTAACATTTCAGTCTTTGAAAGATTCAGCAAAGTCCAGGCATATACAGAAATCTCAGACCATGATCCACAAAATGTAACATAAAAGTCATGGGAGAGGATTCCTATTTTTCATGCTTGGCATTTAAAGGACACATTCAATAAAATAACATAGAGAAAAAATGTTCAAGTGATATATTTATCAAAATAGAGTATCTGATAAAATAGTCCTTAATTGTATACAGGTCCCTACATGAGTGCTCACTGAAAAGGAAAGCTGGTGTGGGTTCTGAGAGATCACCAAAGGTGGGGCGGGTATCTGTCTGCTGTACACGCCAGTAATGAATTTCTCAGATGACGACCAAAGATACGAATTTTCAAAGAAACATATTGTTATTGTAATAGGTACATTTTGTAGTGCTAGCAGATGTATGGAATCCTATCTTGACACTCTGGAAGAAAATGCTCGTAACTATGCCTTTTCCTTTGATAGATAAAATTCTCCAAATCAATTGACAGTAATTGAAGATTCCAGAAAAGTAATTCGAAGTTTTGTCTACAAATCACATCTTCATGTAACTGACTTATGAGATTTAAAGATGTATTCGTCTAGCAAATGAAATGAATGGAAAATAAGAGACTGCACAAGAGAAAGTAGCCGAAGTCCTTGTGCTGAACACACATAGTATTAGACATTCTACACTTGCCACTTTTGTATGAGTCTGAAAATGATGATGATATCGAGGGTGAAAATGAAGAAATACCATGAAGTATGTTTGCTATCTTCCTCACCCTCAACTATCTCATTTCTAAGTGATCTGAAAATTTCCTATGCTCAGTGATAGCAGAAGCTGAATGAAATCTGTATTAGTAGGTATCCATGTTAGAATATAAATAGATTCTACATACACTCTGTGTAATAGTGTATGTCTTTTTCCCTGTGTCCTTTTAGAAGGTACTGAGCCTTGGTCCCTAGGAATATAAATAAATGAAGAATCACGACACCTCTCAATTTCCAGGATTAATGGCAGGGAAAGAGAATGTCAGAGTTCAGAACAGTGCCCAATTCCTCAGGCTAAAAGCCTATATAATAAGTCAATTTATTATTTTAGCAATTATTTACATAGTGTTAAGTGTATATGGTATGGATGTAAAATAATACATTTGATCACTGTCTACAGAACAAGTTTAGAATGGAGAAAAGAACATCATATTCAATGCTACCTCCATTCCCTCTGGGGTAAGGAAATACAGCAACTTATTTATTGTCAGTGTTCAGAAATTATTTCTCTCTGCATAAATAGGGATTTATGCGTCTCAAGTGTGTATTAGAGAAGAGATGAAGATTGCAGTACGGGGCAAGTACTGGGTTGTAGAGAGGCACTCAGCTTTATTGCTTGTATTTTTGTCTTTACAGACATAACTGCAGCTGAACAGTGTTGAGGAATTTTGTGGTGCTTTATCTTGTCCAGCAGCATTACTCACCTTCAGGTCCCGATGGACTACGCCCATCTGATGGCAGTGTAGCACAGCCTCCAGGATCTGCTGAATGCAATGACTGCATGCAAACACCAGGGGGCGTGTGTTAGTTCCAAGCTTACACTCACTGTCTGTATATCCTCAGAGAGACTGGGTTCAAGTGCAGAACTAGCAGACAACTGGAGTTGTAGTTAAATCCTTCTTAATGTACACAGATTGCTCAAGGAGAGTGATTATAACACCTCAGAACAGTCAGGAAGTTGCCAGATGTGAGCCAGAATGTGGATCCACTTATGCTTCCCAATATCTTTTTAAACAGCTATTTCATTTCATTCAGGAGCTCATTTCCTGGTTATAAATCTTTCCAGGAAATGAACTGGAACACAGATACAAGGTTTGCAGTTGTTGTGCTCTGCCTCCCCACCATGCACACAATTTATTTTCCTATTTTCTCCTACTTTTCTAGTATCATCCTAAAAGCTGTTTTATTAGAAGATGAGGCACCATTAAAGTTAAAATAGGATATGTAATGAATTTTTGATAAATCATTAACTTTGTGTGCTTTAATTTAGTTGGCAATTATTATCTTTCGCCTCAGGGTTCATCCGACTCAAATGGAGCAATGTGTAACCAGTTGTTCTGCTACAGCAACCCATGGTCTCAGAACAGAAGTGGTGTTGAAATCTACAGGCGACATACATCATAGGCCAAGGTGAGTTCAGGAAAGGCCACCCCACACCGCTGGACTGCCGACCTAGTTCACTGCTTGGAAACAGAAGGCGCTGCTTTCCTCATCGCCCCACCCCACCCCATACTCCCTGCTATGATGTATATTGAGCCTGTAGAGAAGCAAACTGAAAGAGGCATCATGCATTATCATTTTGTTGGTTACTCGGTTCAGGAAAAAGTCAGGAAAGGCAAGGGAACCATTTCAATACCGCCTCCCCTCTGCCCTTTCCCCAGAAAACAACAAAGAAACTCCTTTGATTCAGATTTATGGACTCCATATACTGACCTTCAGGTCCCTGTGAACTATGCCATTTAGGTGACAATGATTTACACTTTCTAGAATCTGCTGTATACAATGACTGCAAAGATACAAGGGTAGAATGGAAGGGAGAACATTTTAAAGGCACATAATCACATTAAATATGAAAAAAAATGACAGTTCAAACAAAACAAACAAACAGAAAATTATATTGTTTCACTTTTTTTAGCTTTACGTTGGAATTAAGTAACGTTGAATAAAGCTAATTCTGGTTCTAAAAAGAATGACATCAAACACAGAATTTGTGACATGTTCAGACAAAACAATTTGAGCTGTGTTTTTTCATTATAAATCTACAAATTAAATCATCTCTATACAGAGGTTAAAATTTCCATATTCAGGAAGATGAATTTATAAGTAATCCAAAAATGTTCTGGAAAAAATATCTCTAGAGAAAAAAATTTCCAGGTATTTCTCAGACACATCTAAACTGTTTAAAATCTGAGGTCACAATTAAACATAGGTGTTGAAACAAGAGGGTTAAACACAGATGAAATGGCAGGTGAAACAAGGGTTAAAAAAAAGGGAGGGACACAGTTACATTTTTATTTATATATATTTTAGACATAGTCTATCTAATTTGCTAAATTAGTAGTCCAGTCTGGGCTCAAACTTGTGATTCTACTGCCTCAACCTCCCAGAGTGCGGTATTTTTGGCCTGAGCCACTGTCCTCAGATGCAAACTCATCCATCGCACATTTAACGTGCTGATATAGAAGTGGTGCTTCCTATATAAGACTCCAGTAACAGACAGAGAACTTCAAGTAAACCTGTCACCTGAAGCAAACCTCCACTCAGTATAAGAATACTCTGAGGAATGGCCAGTGAGTTTGCAAAAACAAAAATAAAAATAAATAAAAGTTAAAAATGCCTTAGCACTCCTGATTATTAAACCCCTATCTATATGCTTCAGTGAAGGAAGGCTTTTATTACTTTGTCAAAATATACAACTTATGCTCTTCATATTAAAGGCTCATTGATGTTATGTAGACTGCTAATTAAGTTGCAGGAGGAAACTTTCTGGCCTAATACCCACAAAGTCCCAAGAGCAGTCACCTGACATATCATAATGTAGAACACATCACACTGATGAATTCTGTACAGTTCACTGTGCAATTCCAATGCAAATTTTTACAGAACCACATTCAAGACAATGTAAACAATTTGGTAACGATATTGTCAATCATTTCATGTACAAAATATCATTACAACACATTCTTGAATTAAAAATGTAACTGGCATCTAATGTATTACATGTAAATATAAAAAAATTGACCATGACTATGATTTTCTAGTTCTAATTCTATTAACAGTACCACAAAAACAGCCTCCTATGGGTGGCTGATAACTATGTAGCTTATTTGAGCATTGGTCATTATCTTCAAAACATGAGACTCTATTTTTATGATCATGTTCATGTTGAATAATAGGAAGTAAATAAACAACATTCATATTAAATGAGCCACTTTTTATCAGGATGAATTTAATTCTTAAACTTTCATTTTCAGTGCTGGTGACATCCAATCCTGGCAAGTCCTCTACAACTAAGCTGCATGCCTAGTCCCCAATTCATTAGTTATTGACGGCAGTAAGAAAACATTTTCAAAATATTCATCAATTAATTTGGTGCTAGGAGTTGAATGTAGGGCCTTTGCATGGAACTATATCCTCCTGCCTTCTAAAAAACTGTCTTTGTGAGACAGGGTCTCACTAAGACACCAAGTTGCCCATGGGCTTAGACATGCTGTAATTCTGCTTCAGCCTCCCAGAGTGCTGGGATTACAGGGTGTGCCACCATGTGATGTCTGCAAATGTTTCCAAAAACGTATTGTTTATAGTTGTAGTTGGGAAGCAACTACTTCTCTTTGATTTCATGTGGAGCTTACCTTAAAACATATGTGTGGATACTTCTTAAACTTAATGCAAATATGCATATTAAAAGATCCAACAGTGTCTGTCCTATTAACTAAAGGGCTCTGCAACAGTAGAGTCTCTGCCTTAATTTCAACCAATATTGTTCATACATAATGCATGTTTAATATGCATGTGTTTGTATGTACATTTACATGTATAGTTACTATATATATATGTTGCATTTAATATACATAGTTAACATAACTTTAAGATAAATAGAATGTCCTAATTTGTTTACAAGCATGATTAAAATTATTACTTTCTCCAGGCAAGGGGGCAAATAGGTACTGCAAAGCTGCTCTAAGGTCCTTTTCTGAGGCTCACAGTCAAATAGGAGATAAATTAAGCAACAGATGATTCATTCATCATAGTATAAGTGACACAGACTTTTCTATTTGATTTTGGCAGTAAAAATGGCATTAAAAATTAGTGTGGGGGCTGGGGATTTAGCTCAGCGGCATAAGGCAGGCAGTCGTAAGTTCGATCCCTGGTACCTATAAAAACGAAAAAGACCAATAAAAAAAAAATGTGTGTAGTCATATACAGATAGGTTCACAAAATGCCATAAATAGTGACATTAGTCAAGAAGAATTAGAAATTTAGAAGGGAGCTTCTCTGTGGATGCAGTATTTTGGCAAGATGAGGAACTCCAATTGTGAGCTGAGTAGCCTTCAAGCTCTGAAAGTTTTAGACAGGAGGAGACAGCCAGAGACTGAATTCTCACAGCTTCTCATTTACAGGACTAGTGGGCAAATGATTCTCAATCAGATGTTCTTTTTTAAAGAAGTGGCAACTATAGAATGAATAAAAAATGCAGGGAAAAATTAATATCATACAGTCTAAGTAATATCTAAGTAAGTGGATGAATATTACTTTACTCCAAAAAAAGTTACCTTTGGGTAAAGGCAGTAGTTTCAAATTAGAAAAAAATGTTAAATATTTTTTAAATAAAATCTGCCTTTTTTTTTTTTTTTTTTTTTTTTTTGGTACTGGGGATCAAATTCACAACCATGCACTTGCAGAGCAGGCACTTATGCTGCTGAGCTAAACCCCCGGCCCCTAAATAAAGTCTGTGAAGATTTGTCAAGAAACAAGATTGTGAATCTATTCCTGAACTTTCTGAATAAATATTTTTCATGATGGAATTCCAAGGGCTTTAATGAAATTTCCAGAGTTAAAAAGCCAATAATAATGTTTTATAGAGACCACTGGGGTTTTTATCGGTCTGTTTTTGCTCTTGACCAGACATGAGCTGTTGGGTGCCCTGTGTGTAATGACAGAAGTAGCCTCTGCCCAATTGTTAACCAGCATCACTTGTGAGTATTAAAGCCATTGAAATGCAGCTAGCCCAACTGAGAACTGATAATAATGTTTAGGCCACATCTAAAGAGTTCTTTATTTTCCCCCTTTAAGAATCATGCTAGACAGCCTTAAAAAAAGGAGAAACTTCAACTGAGAGAGGACTTTATAACAAGAAATTCAAACAGTACTGTAAGATTCTCATCAATATTTAGAAATGTCACTTGAATCTTTTATCTTGCCCAGGGCAAGTTACTTACCTGGCATCAGCTTCACTGTAATATTCTCTGGCCACTATGTCTTCAAACAGTTCACCTCCAGTTACTCTGTGAAGACAAATAATAATATTCACTTTTTAAAAAGATCAAGTATCAATAGATTTACAACTAATGTTCATATAGAAGTATTTTGATTTTTAAATTATCAAAACCAGGTATTTTAAAACATGATGATACTCAATTTTCCTAATAGTCAAATCTCTGTCATATAAATATCTTCAAGTGTTCTTCTTGTCTTTGGGTTACTAGAAACTGAGATCACAACTTTTCGGTATATAATAACTACATTCAACAATATCTTTTATAGGAAATGGTTTCTATGAAAATCTTCATTTCAATCATCTGAATATTAACCGAGGTCTAGTAAAATGAGTAGCACAGTTCAAGAAGATTTTCTGAATAAAAACAGAAAGTATCTCAGCTGCTGAGTGTGAGTTCGCAAATTGTATCTTTTGCCTTTCACTTGTTTTGACATCACTAAACATCTATACTCCCTCTTTTGCAAACACATATGCTGCAAATACACACTTTTCTTAAAAAATTTGAATTGTGTAATATCCATAAACTGTGTTTTTCCTGCTATATTAAATCATAGTTGTTATTTCATATAGAAGTGTTTTTTCATTTTTAAAATAACAGCAACACATAGTAATGCATGTGTATGTGCATATATTTGCATATTTTAGGGTCTTTCTAGAAAAATATCTTTCAAGAAAAATTTCTCTGTCAAAGAGTTGCCACATTTGAAATTTTGTTGGGAGATAGGGTATGCTGCCACCCCAAACAGCTAAGTTTATGGTTGAGAAAGTGGAGGCCCAAAGAATCTAAGTGACTTCCCCAAGATGACACAGTGTCCATTGCATGGGCAGGCCACCCATGTGTCAGCCAACACTGACACTGTCAGTGTCACTGTCACACTTTTCAGATGTGCAGAAGACAAAAGTCATATGGAACAACATCAAGTGAAGGAATAGCACTTTGTGTATGATTATTACAGTGTGATGCAAAGATGGTTTTTCTCTTTGTTCTCATTTCCTTTTGTGCATTAGTACATTCCGAAACATCATCAAATGATAGCATGTTCCAGAAGCCACAGGTTATTATTCTCTTCTCTAGTCTTTTGTTCCTAAAGGAAAAGACAGGGTAGCAAAACTATAAGTTTGTCAGGACATTTATGTCACTCTCCCCCACTCCATTCATTGTGAATTCTGAAGTCTCTTAATGTAGGAGTCATTATTTTCAGTCCTATTATTTTTATATATAAAATATGATCTAATATGATCATATTAAGCTTCATATGGTCTTGTTTTGAAAAACAAGATACATGTAATTAATTTTAACAGCATAGCTATTTTCCAAGTAGAATCTATAATTATACACTGTCACAAAGATGACCTAGAAAAATTATAATACAAAATAGAAAGTACTTGCAAAAAATCTATTATTGTCCTTGTAATGGTAAGAGTTTTGTGAGATTTTTTTTTCCTTTTGAGTATGAATAACATTGGTATAGTTATATATTCATATATAACATTATTTCTATTTGTAAACAGAAACTTGCATAAATTACAGTTCAAGTTGGTAAAGTGTTCAACAAATATTGATTACAAATTCCAGGGGTGAGGATGTAGCACAATTGTAGAAAACATGTTCAGCATGCGTGACGCTCAGGATTTGATCTCCAGCACCAAAACCCTCTCCTTCTCCAAAACAAACAAACAAACAAACAAACAAACAAGAGTTTATTGTCATCAGCAGTATTATTACTGTCTATAGTAGCTCCTTAAAGTATTGTTTTCATCAGGAGAATTATCAGATCTTGCTTCACTGGAATCATGACTAATTTTTATTATTAGTATTTCTTACCAATGATTCTTGGAATAATGATCAAATGGATTAACTGAGGGAAAAAATCATGCTGTCCATTTCATTTACCCATTTAAATCTGGGCTTTATATGGATTTAAAAGAGGGGAAAATACACACATATGTTTAGTAGTCTATGGCAAGAGGTTTTATTTAAGTGGGTCTACATTTACAGGAGACTATTAAAGAATCAAAGAGACTAGCACTCAACAGTTTCAATGAACTGTAATTGCTTTACACAAAACTGAAGAAAGTGCCTTGAATATGCTAAGCATGTGATCTACAACTGAGCTACAACCTTAGAGTGATATTGAACTTTTTAACACTGAGTTTTAGATTATGTAGTTAGATGCTGTTGATACCATTCTCTTTCATCTTCCAGGATTCATTCTTCTCATTATTTTATAATATTTTTATGTAAATAATCATTTTATCACATTGGTGACATGTATGACAAATGTCTAAGGAGGAAAAGTGGAGTTAAAACAAAATTCATTGCTTGAAAAAGAAACTAATGCATTTCCAATCTTTAATATATTTTTCTAAACACATTATTGTTTTATTGAGCACAAAAGTAGTAATTACAGAGTTTTGCACATTTTTAGTGAGCTATGTGAAAATTCATATAATGCCACAAGTAAAATCAGTTCTATGAATAAACTTGTAGATTAATTAGACATTTATGAATAAATTGGTACCAGAGCTCTGCTATGATATGAAGCATATCAATTATAGATACATAATATTAATTATGACTCATAAATATCTGGAACATTAGTGTTTCAAGAAAAAAAGGATAATTTGGGCAAAAATATGAGATTCCATGTAACAAAATGATAAAGATTTTGTTGCCTTTTTATTTATAAATATTTTGATTTGTATTTATCACTCCTGTAGAATGAACTGTCCTTTTGTTTGTAGTTGCAGATCTGTCTGTCTGTCTGACTTCCATCTGAAGTTTTGCCTCTTTTAGGTATTTCTTGGTGACTGAGCAGAGTTTCAAAACGCACTCAGCAGAATCATCTTACTAGAGTGAGCCAGGAACCCTGCCATGAGATGTGTGTGAAGGGGATCAGAACACAACTCTGGCCTGACTGCTTGCCTCTAAGATCAGTTCCACATGAAAGATATTTTCTAACTGAATAGCAAGCGTTTGAGGACCCCATGAAGCAGTGGTTTTTCTGAGGGTGTCCAGGACTGATTTTCATGATGGATTACAAATCAGATGATGGAAACCATAAAGATCGAAGAGCTGCTTTAGCAGAAGGTCTAGTTTCTTATTAATCCTCAGTTGGGTAGATTTGCTGAGTCACACTCAGAAGTACAGTGAAGATGACAAAACTAAAAGACAGGTCGTGGAACTGTTTCATGCACAACCTAATGGCAGCCTGAAGGAGAGAGGCACCAGACTGAGGAAGGCACACACAGAACACCAGTAGCAAGACAGTGTATTGATAGGCACTGTGCTGCTTGGACCATGGAGTGGAGTGGGGAAATGGGGTGGGATAAACACCTTCACCTTTTCCCCCTTTAAGAAGTGCCTCTTCCTGGTTTTTTTTTTTTTTTTTTTTTTATTCTGGAGTCTATCCCTTTCACCTTCTCTCATCTCATTCACTTTATTATGATCACTTCTGTATAATCTCTCTCAGTAATAACACTCTAACACTCTAACACCAATTCTATAGTGCCCCTTTCATGTGGAAAATATGAACCACTATCAAAAGTCCATATTCATAAAATTGTTTTCCATTCTATCATCAATCCTAAGGAAGAAAGAAAACAGGATTATAACCATAATTAAGGGTATATGGAATAATGCAAAAGCAGAAATGGAATGTTATTTTTATTCTATTAATATGACAGAGCTTTTAAAGTGAGTAAATTAGTCACTGGCTTATTTTATATATAAGTGTGTTTAACAAAATGCCTTAGTGAGGGCCTGATTAAACATCCAGATGATGTTTCTCAAGACACGCTTGTCAAACTGAAAGCTTCCTAGAAGGTTAAGGAGTGGCTCATCTAGATGCGCAAAGCCCTGAGTCTGATCCCAATTTTTCAGAAACAAAACAAATAAAAAATACTTCCTGAAAACAAGTAATATACTGCAATACTGGCATTTTAAAAATGCATGACATAATCAAAGTCACAATGAGATACTAATCATACATCCATTAGCAATACCATGATTAATGAAGCAGAAAATTACAAGTGCTTGTGAAAATGTGGAGAAATGGAAGCTTTTGTGCATTACTGGTGAGAATGAAAAATGGCAGAGCCATTTTAGAAAACAGAATGTCAATTCTTCAAAAAATTAAAAGTAGAAATGCCACAGATGACTCAGCAATTCTACTCTGGGGTATACACCACATCATTGAAAACAGTGACTCAAAGACATATCTGTGCATTTTGGTTCATAGCACCATTATTCATAATAGCTGAAACAACCCCAGTGCTGACAACAGATGAACAGGTAAGCAAAATGTTACATACATGCAATAGATATTATTCAGTCTTAAACAGAAATTCTGACATACTCTATAACATGGTTGAACACTGAGGATATTATGCTAAATGAAACAATCAAGTAACAACAACAATAACACAATACTTTGTGATTATAATATTCTAGGGGCCCAGAATAACAAAAACTATAGGCAGTAGAAGAAGTTGCCAAAGGTTGGTGGAGTGGCAAACAAGGAGTCGATTAGCGGATGTGGAGTTTCAGTTTTGCGTGATGAACAGAGTTCTGGAGATAGTGGTGATACTTGCACAAAAATATGAATGTATCTAACGCCACCGAAGTGCACTTAAAAATAATCAAAACAGTGAACTTTATATGTGTTTTACTACAATATAAAACAAAGTCACACAGAAGGTAATTATAGCAATCATAACATGGCAATAGCAAAGTACTACGCATAATCCATTGAACACTTGATAAATACTGCTAATCCTTATTCTTTTTGGGTTTCAGACAGATTTACAAAATTATCCATACCATTATTGTGAATGCTAGTAAACAGCGTACATCAATAAGTTATTAAAATTATTAGGTTCCTGCCTCAAAAGTATGGCTGAGTAGAGAATAAAGCCTATGTAAGCTGTGTTTTAAATACCACCTCTCCCATGTCCCATCAGTGAGCAGGCCCTGTCTCTTCTTGACTCAGTGCTCTACTGAGGGTC